CTCTCTCCCTCAATTCCTCCTTCCCTCCTCCTCCTTCAAATTGCCTTCATTCCTTCTCTCATCTTTTTTCCCTCCTTTCTTTTCTCTCTTCTCCCTCCCTCAATTGCTTCCTCCCTTCCTCAAATCTCCTTCCTTCCTTCCTTCTCCCATCTTTTTCTTCCTTCCTCCCCCCTCCTTCCCTCTTCTTCCCATCTCCTCTCTCTCTCCCTCAATTCCTCCCTCCCTCCCGCCTCCTCCTTCAAATCTCCTTCATTCATCTCTCATCTTTTTCTTCCTTCCTCCTTTCTTTCCTCCTTCCCATCTCCTCCCTCTCTCCCTCAATTACTCCCTCCCTCCTCCTCCTCCAAATCTTCATTCCTTCTCTCATCTTTTTCTTCCTCCCTTATTTCCTCCCTCTTCTTCCCATCTATTCCCTCCCTCAATTCCTTCCTTCCTTCCCTCCCTCCCTCCTTCCTTTCTTCCTCAAATCTCCTTCCTTCTTTCATCTTTTTCTTCCTTCCTTCCTTCCTTTTCCCATCTTCTCCCTCCCTCCTTCAATTCCTTCCTTCTTCAAATCTCCTTCATTCNGAAAATTTCACGCGGTGTTTTAACAATTCTAATAAAATAAATCTGACCGCCACTATATGGAAACTGGGCTGTTGATTCGGTTTAGAACAGGTTAAAACCCTGGAAGAGCCCCCACCCCAATAGGTGTGTGATGCAGACTGAGGCCCCCTAAAGTCCGGAGACAGGCACTCTGCACATGCCCTGGGGCAGCCTTTTAAGAAATCTGCTCAAGAGAGAAAAAAACCACCATCACCAAATCAACCACTTTGTGCTTCTTTTTATCAGTTGGAGATTCACATTTTACCTTGTTGCGTTCATCGCCGGCATGGCGGTCATAGTCGATGTGAGTATATGGCCCCTTCTTCTTGTTGGAAAGATTTAAAGCTCTTTCTTTAATTTGGTTTAATTCTTTAGTTCCTTCCGTCTAATGGGTTTTGTCTCTCTTTTGTGTGTGTGTGTTTGTGGGTCTGTTGCAGAAACCTTGGTTTTACGACCTCAAAGAAGTGTGGGACGGCTACCCCATACAGGTAAGGATGGTTTTTGGCGAGAGTTTCTTCCAAAAACATTGCGTGGATTTTTTAAAAAAATAAATAAATGCACAAACCCCGATGGGTGAACACCGACGTTGCAAAGAAGTTAAAAAAGCTAAATTCTTCTTCTGGCATTCGGTGCCTTGTCAAATCTAGAGAATTTTTTGCACCCGAAGCCAAAACGGTGCCTGGATGTTATCATGCCCATATTATTCCCTTGTCTTTATTCATTATAAAGAAGAACAAAAGTGATTTATTTCTGGCAGAAGCAAGAGGGATCAGCCATTAAAATAAATACAGGTAGTTCTTTTTTTAAAAAAGTTTTTTTTTAATTCAACAGTTTTCTTCATTTTTATATCGCAGTTTTCATCTTTACAACAGTGTCACTATGGCTCCGATATACATGCTAGTTTTATACACACACACACACACACACAAGCATGTATAAATGAATGGATATATACTAGCATGTGTACAATGTGTAATTATTATTCTAAATATTTTTTTACATTTTATAATGTATATTTTACATTTCATCACATCTTATCGTACTATAACACGACGTATTCTTCACCTATCCTTATATTTATGCTTATTTCTATTTTCTAGCTCATTAATCATCTTATATATATGTATTTAGTGTCACAACCCCTGGTATGCCCAAATAGGTATGCATTTAATGTTTCCCTGGCTCAGCTGATAAAGGAGGAGAACCTTGTGGCTTAGTGGTTAACACATCTGCCTAATATGT